GATTCCACATTAGAAATGGATTCTTTTTTCTCTTTTACAGTTGCATTGGGCCGTGTCGGTTCCTCTTCCTCTAGAGGAACTGGTATCTCCCGAGTTTGGGCAACTTTTACCATGGACAATTTAGGTAGGGAATTTTGCTGTAACCTTTTACATTTTCGTTTGGCTGGGGTAGGTGCCTGCACCTTAGGAAAGTCCGGCCCTGGCATGGGTTTCTGTGGAGGCTCTGGCTTGGGCGCTAAAGTGTCTTGGGGTACAATGGGCATGTTAGATTTAAAATGAATTATGCCACCTGTTCTTTTTATTATGGCTTCTGACTTGATTGGCTTAGAGATATTAAAGTGACTTTTAGATTGCAAAGACTTTTGTCTTTCTTAAGAGATACTGATAAACAGAATTTCATCCTTACAGGCTTTTACAGCAACTTCTATAGTTCCCTCAGTTTCTTGCAATAAACAACCCCATTGTGGATGGACTTCCAAGATATTTACCCATTTTTTGTCTCCCCCCTTCACGATAGATACTAATTGCCATTAGCTTCATTTTCTGGTTTAATCCTTTAATACTTAAGTTTTGATCAAAACTTTCACTAGCACTGGCTGTGACCTGCTTTTTTTTTCACTAACAGCTTTTTCAGATTCTCCGCTTCCCCTTCCTCCCCCGAATTTTTTGCAACTGTGTTTGTGTCTGATACTTTCTCTATTCCTAAGTTTCCTGTTGCTCTTCCCGTCTGATTTTAGCTTTCAGTCTGCTTGAAAAATAAGAATATAGCAGTAGGGTTACATTACAGACCACCTGACCCGGATGGTGATAGTGACTCTGAAACACTCAGGGAGATTAGAAAGGCTATTAAAATAAGAAAACTCAATAATAATAATGGGGGATTTCAACTATCCCTGTATTGACTGGGTACATATCACCTCAGGAAGGGATGCTGAGACAAAGTTTCTTGACACCTTAAATGACTGCTTCTTGGAGCAGCTAGTCATGGAATCCACCAGAGGAGAGGCAATTCTTGCATCTATATAAATCCATGGTACGCCCACACCTTGAATACTGCGTGCAGTTGTGGTCGCCCCATCTCAAAAAAGATATATTGGAATTGGAAAAGGTTCAGAAAAGGGCAACAAAAATGATTAGGGGTATGGAACGGCTTCTGTATGAGGAGAGATTAATAAACCTGGGACTTTTCAGCTTGAAAAAGAGGCGACTAAGGGGGGATATAATAGAGGTCTATAAAATCATGAGTGATATAGAGAAAGTAAAGAAGGAAGTGTTATTTACTCCTTCTCATAATACAAGAACAAGGGGCCACCAAAGGAAATTAATAGGTAGCAGGTTTAAAACAAACACAAGAAAGTATTTTTTCACGCAACACACTGTCAATCTCTGGCACTCCTTGCCAGAGGGTGTTGTGAAGGCCAATACTATAACAGGGTTCAAAAGGTAGCTAGACAGATTCATGGAGGATAGGTCCATCAATGACTATTAGCCAGGATGGGCAGGAATGGTGTCCCTAGCCTCTGTTTGCCAGAAGCTGGGATCGGGTGAAAGGGCATGGATCACTTGATGATAGCCTGTCTGTTCATTCCCTTTGGGGCACCTGTCATTGGTCACTGCCAGAGAACAGGATACTGGGCTGGATGGACCTTTGGTCTGACCCAGTATGGCCGTTCTTATGTTCTTATGTTCTGGTAAGTGGGGGTGAGATTCTACCTCTGCTTGCTGTGGGTTGGTCATTCCCAGGTTCCACCGTAGCCACCGGAATATCTGGAATTATATTTACAACATATATAGGTGACAACTTCACCTCCATGCAATTATCCTCCACATTTACTTGAGGGATCTGTCCATTTTCACCTTCAATATCTATTACCTGTTGATACATATCCTCCAGAATGTCACAAGTTTGCTTTAGTGCCGGCGTTTTGTGAGCTAGCTCAGCTATTTTTACTTCTTGCCCAAACAAATGTTCCTGCCCCATGGCTTCTTTTTTCACATCATCATTTTATAACCAGCCTCTTGCAGTTGTTGCTTACTGTATCTTAAGTCTCTTGCCAAACTGTTCCTTTGATTAAGGAGTACAGAATTTACCTCCTTTACCCTACTAAGTTGTTTTTTCAATGTGTAACTAGTCTTCTGCTCTTTGCATAAGGCTTGTTTTGCCTTCTCCAGTTGTTTTCCTTTCTTTTAAATCTTTTCCATAGGTTATTACATGCTATGTATACACAGTCCAGGGCTATTTCTTTCACCTCTTAAGCCTTTTTTTGTTTTTTTGTTTACCTTTTCCTTTTCAAAGAGGAAATACAGTAAATTTCAGGGATCTCTAGGGGCCCCAAGCACTGCAGTAGCTGGTTTTTAACTAATGCTCTCCCATGGGGTTTAATGTAGTCTCGCCCAAAGGCCTCCCAGGACCTTTGTGAGTTGGAATTGTTGCAATAAATGCCTGACTGGGTGACTTACTTTGTTCCATATTTCTTTTGGAAAAGTGGCAGGCATCCCTTCCTTGCTCCTAAAATGTTTACAGGGATTTTATTTTATTTTTAAATTGAGAAGGGCTTGTGGTGCTTACTTCTCCTTCAGCTGTGTTACAGCTGGAGTCCACCGAGAGGAGGGGTAATGACCAAGGCAACCCCACAAAATTTTCCTTGATCCTCCATTGGTGGTGTGGTCCAGAGGACTTTAAAGTTTGGGGAGCTTATTAACTAATAGGGGGCTTTTACCCATATGTGAGTTCAAGGATCTGTTACACAATTGCAATTCCTATTTTGTTCCCCTGAGCTCAGTTTTTACAACATTACACAGACAGACAAACATAGAATGCAAGCAGGAGCAAGCAAAAGCAGGAAGTCTCCTGGTATGACTTTTCACCTACATATATATAATTTTTTTTCTGAAAACCTTTGATTCTTATTGGGTTTCTGTGTTTACTATGGATGCACATGTTCTTTATGGTTTCATGTGTTTTCTATGGTCCTGGGTTTCGGCACCAGATCTGTAGCCTTTCATTCTCTTTAACGTCAATCACATTTCCCTGGGTTCAGCTCTGGTGGCTACAGTCTCAAGTTCAACAGAGTTGTCTCTGTTCTAGATCTCGGGCCCACAGGAACACAGGAAACCATAGGTAAGTAACACATACAATTAAAATTACAATCCTTTAGTAGTTTTATTAAAGTTGCCAATAAAATCATAAAAGTTACAGGACATATAATTCCAAATAAAGATATGTGCCATGCACAACTTATAACTATAAACATACTTACATCCTCCTAGATGGTGTTAGAGTCTGTCGGCCTTCTCAAACTCCATCGGCCCTCACATGGATTGATTGTCAATACGGGAGTGGTTCCTGCTGGAGTTTCCCAAAGGAAGCTCAATTTGCCTACTTTGATACTGGGATTCTGTCTACACTTACATTCTGCACATGTACATGACGGCATCGTCCCTCTCTTTCTTATCGGTCTGCATTCCCTGGAGACACAAAGGACCCCGAATTCTATAGGCTGGGTAGGTTGAAGAACTGCCTTTGTCTTGCGGTTTAAGGCACGTGTTAAAAGCACATTTTGTTGTTACAGCATTTTTATGATTTAAATTTAACTTTCCCACTTTGACTTTCGCAACATTACCAGTTTCTGCCTCTTTTCTTAGAATTTTAGGGCATCAGGTCATTTTTAGGTCGCCAACTTGTATCCAAGGCCTAAAATAGCTAAGCTAAAGTCTTTCAGCAGGCCTCAGCCTACAGTCTTCTTGTGTTTCAGCTTGTCTGACTTATTACCTAGTTCCGCGAAATATTGCTTAATCTTATACTATTATAATCCTATAAATCAGTTCTGATTAACATATAATGAGTATATAGAATGTAATCATAACATCACACAGTAAATGAATACCAAACTAAAACCATTGGCTACACCCGATAGATGGTCGAGTTCTTTAGTACATAGGCTGGGATTCTCCTTTGCAGCGTGGAGCCACCTCCCCTGTTCACAGTCTTTGTTCTCCAGAAGTGCTTCCAGGTGTTGAGCTGTGGTGGGGCTAGAGGCCAAAAGTCACGTCCCTTCCTTTATAGGGTCTTCCAGCTTGCTGGAAAGACCTTTTGTTATCACATGAGTCAAACTGTATCCATCGTCTACCGGATCCCTCTGAGAAGCCTTCATTGTACACATGTGATAGTCTCTGGGAGTGTATTCCCCTTAATGGGCCATCAGCACTGTCTGGCTTCTTCACTGCTCCCAACCTCACAACATCTTCCAGTGACACACACCGAGGAAAACTTCATAACTTCCCATACAATGACAGAACAATCAATCCACCAGGACATTATTGTTCAACAGATCAAGCCTGATACCTCACAAGGCACACTGTGTACACAACATAGCCGAATTATATCACCACGGTAAATATGGGGATGCCAGGGTACTGCTTGGAGCACAGAGGGCCACAGCGCCAGACACAGGGACAGAGATGTGTGGCCCCGGGATGCTCTGAAGCTTTATTGTCCTTGCTCATGAGGAGGAGAATCAGGAACTTCACCCTGTCACCACCAGCATGAGAAAAACCAACCCACCCGGATGGGGCCAATGTTTCAGCCTGGAGTCTGCCTGGCCGGCCTTCGCCACCTCCCATCCCCCACTGCTGTGTGCCCTGGCCCTCACCAGGCCCTATCCCTCACCCCCATCTGCCCTGGCCCTCAACACTTCCCATCGCCCTCCCCATAGGCCCCAGTGCCCTCGCCACCTCCCATCCGCCACCATGTCTGCCCTGCCCCTGGCCATCTCCCATCCCATTCCCCTGTCTGCCCCACCCCCCTGGCTCAGCCTCATGGAGTTTCCTTTCAAGGCAATATTGAATGAAGTAGCTGAGTCCCACCTCCCCTGCCCCTGGGCTGGTCATGGGGACAGCAGGAGTGGGCACCACCCCTCTGCAGCATGGGAGGGGTGGGGAAGAATGGGGCTATAAGAAGAGGGGCAGGGAGCTAAGACCCCATCACTGGGGATCTGGTGTGAGCATCTAACAGTGAGTGACGGCACCTCCTCCTCTGGCACCATGGAAACCCTGGTGAGTCCCCCACCTCCTCTTGCTCCATGGAAACCCTGGTGAATCCCCACTGCCCCTCATCTCCTGCCCCAGGGCAAACCTTGTGAGTTCCTCCTGCCTCCTCTTGCCCCACGGAAACCCTGGTGAGGCGTCCCCCCCACCTCCTGCTCCATGTAAATCCTGGTGAGTTGTCCCTGCCTCCTGCCCCATGGAAACCCTGATGAATCCCCATCACCTCTTCCTGCCCTATGGAATCCCAGGTGAGTCCCCCTTTTCCCCCCCTCCTGGCCCATAGAGCCCCAAGGAAGACCTGTCTACCATTCACACCACACCCCATCAATCTCCAGGGGGTTATCCCCTGACTCCTCTCCTGTCTGTGGCACATAAGGGGTTAGGCGATGTGGGTTGGGGGGCTCTGGGTCTGTGCCCAGGCTCAGGGGTGCTGATGCTGTGGAGTTCTGTGCAGGTGCCAGGACGGATGCCCAGAGCTGGACTCCTGCTGCTGCCCCTTCTTCTCTGCTTCGGGACAGAGACTGTCGAGAGCACCAAACCCACGGCGCTCAGAGAGATTGTGGATCATGTAGATAAGTGAGTGAGACCCCAGTGGGGCATTTCCCATCTGGCTGTGACCCCTCTGACCTCCCAAGGGGGAAATGGCATTGGTGGCTCAGTGCATGGCATAGCTGGGAAGAGTGATTCTGGGGTAAGGGGGAGCTGGGGCTTGGAGCTGGGAGGGTGATTCTGGGGTACAGGGGTGTGGGGGTCTCATTACTATTGTGAAAAACTGGTTGGAAACTGGAATTCCAATTCCCTCAGAAATTCTGAAATTTCTATTTTCTTTTCAGTCCGAAGTGGTACTAAAATTTGAAAACTTCCATGGATTGGGAATTCCAAATTTTGTTTTGGAAAAATTAAAAATAGATTTCAGTTGGACCATATCTGAATATTTCATTTCAGTAAGGTCAAAATATTTCCATTTCAGCTATATAATATAATATAATATAATTATAATATAATATGAAAGTCCAGATGTTTTCACTTGTATATTATAAACAGCAATATAGAATCATAGACTTTAAGGTCAGAAGGGACCATTATGATCATCTAGTCTGACCTCCTGCACAATATAACAAAAGTAAAAAAAAAATAAAGTCAAAACCAAATGTTTCAATCTAAACAAATTGTTCTGATAATTTTTCATCCGAAAATTACATAAAATTGATGTATTCCCTTGGAACGTTCAGATTTTGTTGAATCAGCCTTTCCCTAAGGAAAACTGCTCTGTCAGAAAAAATTTGAGCAGCAGTAGTCATGTGCTTGCTGTACACTCCCTTTGGAATAAATGAGGACCAGATACCTTGCACCCAAGACTCTTTAAAGAACTGGCCTGTAGGATAAGTGCCCCCCAGTATTATCAGGGTGAGGAGGTTAGATTTGGACATGGGCGGCTGAGCATTAGCATGAATATTCATGATAGTGCTCTAATAGGACAAACCACCATGAACCTGGCTTTATTCTCACCCTCTGCTCTGGAGGTTGGGGGCTGCAGAAGGGGTGGGGGGTGGGGGCTCAGCTTAGAGGATAAAGATCTGCAGGGCTAACCCTGCCCCAGAGGTGACATTTGTGCTCCCCCAAGCCTATGCTGTGTCCACCCAGAGCAAGATTCCCTCCCAGTAGATGGTAGCTAAGGCGAAGGTGCACTGGGCTGGGAACCAGGAGCTCTGCTCCCAAGTCTCCTGTCTAGTGCACATCACAGCCCTTGTTACTCATTTGTTACCTGCACACTCCACCCACCTTTACCCTTCCTTGGGCTCAAGGCATAACCTTGTTAATTTAGGCACCCCCGCGCTTTCCCAGTTCCTAGGGCTCAGGGAGTAATTTTCTGCAGGTTTGCGGGGCCTTTTACCAGTGAAACCTCTATTTATGAACAGCTACCAAAACAGAATACACAGGGGAAGCAGACGATGCTCACCACTCCCAATAAGGCAGACGGACTTTTCCTGGTGGCCAGTCAGTGTCAGGTCATCTGGGGCTCCAGCTGCTGCATTGAGGGCTGGCAGGGTGCTGAGGGCTAGCGGCTCTGATCTTGGGCTATGCCTTGGAGTTAGCATCCAAAGAACTTCCTTACTTTTGGACCCCAGTTTATATAGTGAAACTTGAGTCCTGCTTAGCTGTACCTTACCCAATGGTAAACTAAAATACTACAAAATTGTGTTTTTCACCAACCCTAGCCCATTACAAAACAATTTTTTACCCAATCAGACCCCGCCAGCTTAGTTGATTTAAATCTTGCAAAATTAGTTATGCACCAGACAGAAACAATCCAAGAACCAGACAGAGACCGTATAGATAAACAATAGAGAAGTGGGGGACTATAAGGGCAAAACAATAGAAGTATCAATTGAACAATGACAGCTGCTGATAAATGGTTTCTTGTCAGACCGCTGAACGCTGTCAAACAAAGTTTACTTTAAAGATCTTAAGAGCTGGTGATGGTGGGGACTATTAGGACAGAAATGCCTCCTTCACAGCCCAATGTTACATTGTTATTTTATAACGTAGAGGGGACGTGAGGACGTGACTCTCTGTTTCCTAGCTGCTCCCGCCACTAATTGCTGAAAAAGGCCTCAGACCTTACAGATTCATGCCCTGTCCTCAGCCAGCCATGAGCTCCCCCCGACCCTCCCCAGTCCAGCTGCACAAGGCCACTTCAGGCAGAGGTGGGACGAGAACCCAGCTCTCTAAGAGGGCAGACACAGAGCTTTTCACAGGGAATGTGTCACATATAGGTGCCATTGTTAGCCTCCCTTTAACCAAAGTCAGTCCCCTCCCAGAGCTGGGGGGAGAAATGGGGGGGGGGGCGCCTATCTCCAGTATCCTTCAGCTTGCCAGCAAATCGCTGTGTGTCCCGGGGCCAACTGTGTGTCACGTCCCCCTCTTGCGGTGGCGCCGCATAAAAGCTCCGGTTTGCTCTTGGAGCTCAAGCGGTAACGCTCGGCCCTGGGGAGCTGACGGACCAAATCTCACACCGTGCTGATGATCCCCGGGGGGCACCTATGGCAGTTTCTTCTTAAAACCGCCCTCCAAGTTTATTTCATTCTCCCAGGGAGCAAACATCCCTTGACCCAGGCTGGAGCCCTGAGAGCCTAGAAGCGGCCAGTGACAGCACCATGTGCGACCCAGCCCAAGTTTGCCGCTCAGAGCTGGGGGCAGAGCTGTTCAGAGCCCCACATCTCCTGACTGCCCTTCGCTTTGCCTTCCCTTAGGGATGGGTTGGCTGTTGAATACGCCTTCGCCGTCAGCCTGGAGAAAGCCACTTGTGAGAATCCATCTGGTCTGGAACAGGTGCTGCCCAGGAACAAGCTGCAGGACATGCAGGCGGCCATCAAACAAGAGGGCGGCCTGCAAGACCCAGACAAAGGAAACATTGTGGCTGCCCGGATGAAGAACAGCCCCGTACAGAAGCTCCTGGTCCGGACCTACAACGAGAGAAGCTGCCTGATCTTCTTCACCATCCACTCGCCCTGCGCAGGGACGTGCCAGCTGGTGAAGAGGCCCCACAACATCCTACAGATGGTGAGCGACACCTTCCGCCCCATCGACCACAACTACAAGGCCTTTGTGTTCCGGCAGATCTACCGACAGGACCGGGACCTGGGTCCCAAAAGCCTGCTGGAGGCCTGGCACCGGCTGCCCAATGTGCCCCTGCTGCGCTGTGACACCAATGGCTGCAGGGACTGCAGAGGCAATGACCCCAAAACTGACACCAACGCCTGCCTGGATGAGCTGCAAGCCATGAGGCAGCCTCTGCACCCACCTGGCAGGGGGCAGGAGAGAGAGCAGGGGGAAGAGGGGAGAGCAGAGGATGTAGGGGAGAACAGGGGGCACCTTTGGAGGGCTGGGGAGATGGTGGGGCACGGGGCCCCATTGGAGGGTTCGGTGGATGGCAGGGCAGAGGGCTCTGTCGTAACACTGGGGGAACGGCCAGACATTGCGGTCCATCAGAAGCGTTGGAAACGGCAGTGCGGGTGGCAACAATGGCAGCAAGGGAAATGGTGTGGTGGGGGGCAGAAAGGACAATGGGGTAGGAGGCGCCTTTGGAGGGCTGGGGAGATGGTGGGGCAGGGGGCACCACTGGAAGGTTCGGTGGATGGCAGGGCAGAGGGCTCTGTCGTAACAGTGGGGGAACGGCCAGACATTGCGCTCCCTCAGAAGCGTTGGAGATGGGGAGGCGGGTGGCAAAAAGGGCAGCATGGGAAATGGTGGGGTGGGGGGCAGAAAGGGCAATGGGGTAGGAGGCGTCATTGGAGGGTTGGGGAGATGGTGGGGCAGGGGGCACCATTGGAGGGTTCGGTGGATGGCAGGGCAGAGGGCGCCGTTGTAACCCTGGGGGAACGGCCGGACATTGCGCTCCGTCAGCAGCGTTGGAAACGGCGGTGCGGGTGGCAACAATGGCAGCAAGGGAAATGGTGTGGTGGGGGGCAGAAAGGGCAATGGGGTAGGAGGCGCCTTTGGAGGGCTGGGGAGATGGTGAGGCAGGGGGCACCATTGGAGGGTTCGGTGGATGGCAGGGCAGAGGGCTCTGTCATAACCCAGGGGGAACGGCCGGACATTGCGCTCCCTCAGCAGCATTGGAAACGGCGGTGCGGGTGGCAACAATGGCAGCAAGGGAAATGGTGTGGTGGGGGGCAGAAAGGGCAATGGGGTAGGAGGCGCCTTTGGAGGGCTGGGGAGATGGTGAGGCAGGGGGCACCATTGGAGGGTTCGGTGGATGGCAGGGCAGAGGGTGCTGTTGTAACCCTGGGGGAACGGCCGGACATTGCGCTCCGTCAGCAGCATTGGAAACGGCGGTGCGGGTGGCAACAATGGCAGCAAGGGAAATGGTGTGGTGGGGGGCAGAAAGGGCAATGGGGTAGGAGGCGCCTTTGGAGGGCTGGGGAGATGGTGGGGCAGGGGGCACCATTGGAGGGTTCGGTGGATGGCAGGGCAGAGGGCTCTGTCGTTACAGTGGGGGAACGGCC